CCGACTTCCATGGCTGCCCTTGTGTTCTCAGACAAGCGTCTCCATGCTCCATTTTACCTAAACATCATTGACTTGGAATGTTTTCCTTGAGAGAGCACACGTGCAAGGAAAACATTTGAAATGTTTGCCATTTTGAAAAGAATCTGAAGACACCATTTATAGCTCAGAGGGAAAGATTTGATGTTAATTAAGCTGTTGTCTCCCCGCCTGCGATGGTAACAATTCACGGATTCTAAGTTTAGGCAAGACACTGCAGTTTGCTGCTCCAGAATTCCTAGAATTGAAGCAAATTTTATCGCACTTGAAAATCAGAAAGCTGTCTAGAGCAGAGCCCCCTAGAACCCCACTTCACAGAAAAGGAACCGCATGGGGTTTAATCAATCCGAGGTGTCCACACAGGGCGGCGAAAGCGCGGGGAGGGTGCGAAGCCGGACGCACAGCCGGCTCTGTGCGCTCAAGGCCCAGGCGCACTAAAGGTGAGACCCTTGTTCAGAAAGATAGAAACAAACTATCGTGGTTAAAGTAACGGCCTCCCAAGAACAAAGCCAAGCCCCCAACTTCTTCTGAAGTTTACAAAGAGCCCAATGTTTTGCTGTTGGTGTATAAACATTTAAAAATTCCAATACTCACGTTTCTGGGACACCGGAAGGAGAGAGGAGTTTTCAGGCGTCACCCGCCGCCCAGCGCAACCTCTGCCCACCGCCCACCACCCAGAGCCACAAGTGTCCGTGGAAACTATGATTTAAGATCAAAAGGGTCTGCCCTCCACCCTGCCATTCTCACCCTGTAGAATTAAAGGGAAAGATTTGCCAAAAACCAAAACAAAAACCAGAAACCACCAACCAAACACACAAAAAACTCCCAAAAACCCTGCAGATGGAATTAATGCATTTCACCTGAAAGTTGTTCTGTAACACTGCCCACCCCCCACCCCCTACCCCCGATTTCCCCCCATCCTCATACAAAGCCGCTTCCTTGCACACGTCATTGAGTGAGTGGGGATTCACAGCAGACAAGTGTGCACCTTAAAGACTTGAGTACTTGGTGTCCCCTGCTCCTTTGCAGAGGCTCATCCTGGCGGGGAGGAGAACTCCAGCCTTTGCCAGCACGTGGCGGCTCCTCCGGACTCTGCTCCCTGAGGCTGTTCTTCTGGAGGTCCGGGCAGTTCTCTCACTAACCGCAGGGAGAACACGGGCTCCGGGGCCCCGCCTGTCGGTTTCTCCCACAACAGGACGTGCCAACGAAAACACAGGTAGGTGTTGCTTCCAGGTAACTCAGTATAATCACTTCAAGGGAGTGCTAAATGAACAAAAACATGGACGATAAAGCACTGGCGGCAAGGCCATCCCTTCATTTCCCACAAATCGCACTGCACCAAGGCCTGCTGCGAGATGGACTGGCCGTGAGGGGCCACCCGACAGGCTTTCACAGGCAGTTTAACTGAAAAGCCGGACAGAGCTCACAGGGAAAGACCGTGGAGAGGCAGACCGGCTCTGCCGGCCTCACAGAGGGGAGAGGGCAAGCTCCTGGCCTCAGGGCATCATTCCTTGTAAGTGGACACAGGGGGAGGAAATGAAGTAATGCACATTAAGCTTTTTTTTATTTTTTATTTTTTTATTGGTGAGGAAGATCAGCCCTGAGCTAACATCCATGCCAATCCTCCTCTTTTTGCTGAGGAAAACCGGCTCTGAGCTAACATCTATTGCCAGTCCTCCTCCTTTTTTTCCCCAAAGCCCCAGTAGATAGTTGTATGTCATAGCTGCACATCCTTCTAGTTGCTGTATGTGGGACGCGGCCTCAGCATGGCCGGAGAAGCGGTGCGTCGGTGCGCGCCTGGGATCCGAACCCCAGGCCACCAGTAGGGGAGCGTGAGCACTTAACCGCTAAGCCAGGGGGCCGGCCCCTAAGCTTTTTAGAATAATGCTCGGCGGTTGGTACTTTGTTTGAATTTGCTGTTATAGTATAGAGCCTATCCCTGCTCTTTCAAAAAACAAAACACCTAATTAGGATCATCTAACAGTCCCAAACGCAGTGTACAATTCTTAAGAACTGATTCTGCACCATAAGAATATTTATTTAAACAAGTTATCAATTGGTGACAAATTCTGAAGCAAAATCTGGGGCAGGAAGCTAGTTCCCTTTAAGGGATAAAAATGCCAAAGCGTCTTCCTGCACCTTGGGTAGTAACCCAAGCTGAACTCCCAAGCCGGAGTTCTCCGGATAGTTCAGTGCAAAGGGGTCTCTACATGGGGCCATCATTTTCTACCATCCTACTTTCACTTATAAAGCAGCTGTCTGTCCTGCAATGTTGCCTGGTCACCAGTGGAGCAGCCTCGCTATTCCACCTGCGCCTCTAAGGGGCAGCGCAGGAGCGAAGACCCTGCCTCCCGCAGAGCGGAGGCCTGAGGAGAGGGCAGTGGGGCACCCAGGGGAGAACCCAGTCGCCACTGCTGACCACCAAACACTCCCATCCCGCGGGAGAGTCATGGTGACCAAAAAGTACAAATACCTCCATGTTGAAAGTGGTCAGTTTCAAGGAAGGGAGACCTCAGGGGCCAGCCTGGAGGTGGAGGGAGAGGATTTCTAAGGAGCCGCCCATGTTCTATTTGTAGTGCTCACAGGGCATCCACTTGAGAGTAATTCTTTAGACTGTCCACATGCTTTATACTGTTGAATGTATGTGCATCTCACAACTGTTTTAGGAAGGTGTTATACGGGCAGACACTCACCCAGGGTTATTTTCCCCAGAGGATACAGCAAAGGAAGAATGACGTTTGGGAGGACAAGTGTGCCCCATTCAAACCTGGTAAAAGCTGTCACCTTCCAGCAGGTGTCCCCTGTATCTGCAAAAGCAGCTCACCCTGCTCCCGTGACGTTCTTTCATCTGGCGTATTATCATAAATAAAGACGCACAAACATCCACTAACAACTTCAACTTTTAATAATGGAAACAATTTGCCGTTCCAGAAACAATTTTAGGGAAGAAAAATCTTCCCTATAAAAATAAACTTAAACTCATCGAAATTATAAATATTATAACTTTTTACTTCTGTGATTTAAAATGCTCCCCTGCAATACTACCCCTTCATTTAACATCGTTCCTGTACCATCACATACTGAAGAGAAAACAGTATTACAGCAAAGCTTAATTTAACATAAGAATTTGTACAATGATTTTTAAAAATCTTTGGCCTCAGTGGCCTTCCCTCTTTTACACATTAAAAACGTTGCTGCGGTCACCAGTGTTTGAGAGAGAGTATCAGTCTGCAAAGAACCTGTACTGACAGAATTTCAATACAGCAAGGTTTCCAAATTGCAACTTGTAGTGCACACGACAGTGAGCGAGGTTCTGGAGAACGCAGATGAGGATGCCTATTTTAGACAATCTACTTCAAGTAAAAAAAAAAAAAAATTCACAGATACCCATCAGCTCCTACTTTAGGTTCTAACAGTGTCTTCATCTGAGAAACAAATGCTTCACAAAACATAAGCTTACTGGAATGGGTAATTAAGAGACCAGGTGGTGGATAACAGTATACTCAAACCCAAGCCGTAGTCTGAATAGTAAAACCAGTATAAAAATCATGAAGGCATTCCCTGAACAATGAAGGTAAAGTGTTGGATGACAATGTTACTAAAACCTCATCAATGCACTAAAAAGAAGTTACATGCAAAATTAAACAAGATGTGCCATACATATTTTATAGCTAGTTCTACTTTTTTTTTTTTTCCAACTTTCCTTAAAAAGTTCAGCAAGATATGATTGTCTCAGTAACGTGTGTGGCACAGCAATAACCAACACTTCCATCTGCCTCCCACAAGATGGGTCTTCTCTGAAGAGTCAGAAGGGCCACCAAGAGGAGACAGAAATACAACAAAAGGCACAGTTCACTTAAGAGGCAAAGAACTGAAGCACCTCGGAATTTCAAAAAGAATCCATTAGGTGTCACCAAAGTGTTAACAATTCCTTGGGAATTTATAAACAAACAAAAAATATCCTAGGCTAAAAAGACACAGTAAGGCCCCTCTAGAACCACAGCACCCCTTGCCCGTTGTTTTCAGATTACCTGCTGCATAAGGTGAGGGTATTCAACCTGCTTTAGGAAGGCTCTATTGCACATGCGATTCTTTGGTCGATAGGAACACGCACTTGCGATGAAGTGTTTCCATAAGGAACCCCTCTGCGTGGTCAGTGGGGGTGGACTTCCTCCCTCTCCTGGTCCTGGGTCTTGAATCCATGTCCCTGTTCTACATTATGCAAGATGATTTCACTGAATAAGAGACAGTGAGAAGGAAGAGGAGGGAGAGGGAAGGAGGCAGGAGGGAGGGGAAGGGAAAGGAGGGGGTGATTGTCAGGAAGTGTGCTGTGCGCTCTTTACTTGGCGAATCTCCCCGCTAATGGTGGGGGAAACAGCTGCCCTCACCCAAACTCCTCCTCAGCTCTGAAAACGACCTGGGGAAACCAGAACTTCACAGGAGTTAGTAAACGTCACCTCTCCACCTGCCCAGAGAAGCTGCCCCAGTCAGACCCTCCACTGTGGGAAGGAGGCCCCAGGCCAGGCCCTGAGGGGGGCAGCTGCGGCCGTGGGAGGCCCGTCACCTGGGTCTGGAGGTCGCCTCCTGAGTGCTCCACCCGGCTCTGGGTCAGCTGCAGAGTCAGCCCTCCTTGTGGTCGAGGTCCTACTTTCTTTGGTTCTGTTCCAACATTTGACCTAACAGGAAGTCAAGCACTACTGCGGGGGGTCTGACATTTCAAAACTGAATGCTTTTCCACCCGGTCACCAGCAAATACATCCTCCTCCTCTACCATCAACTCGTCGCCCAAACACCTGCCCTCGGAGCCCTGCCTCCTCTCGCGCCTTCGTCCAAACTTGCTCTTTACTCTCTTTGTCAGACTCCTCCAAAATCCTCCACAAAGCCCTCGGAGTTCTAGCTTCCTGTGCCTTTCAACTCACAGGGACCATTTCCTCTGACATTTAAAAAACAAAAACAAAAAAGACAGGTAGTTTCAACATAGGACAAGTATTCAGATAGATTCCTTGTTAAGCTTGTAAAAAATCGTTTGCACATCCTTAAGCTTAACATCAACATCACATAATTAAAATAACTAAAAGAAAATAAGGAAAAAAACAACAACCCAGAGTTCACGCTTCAAAGCACTCTAGAATGCTCCAGATGAGAACAGATTCACAGCTTGCCAAGAGGTGACACCGCAGTGATGTAACAAAACAAGCTTGCAGAATCCCTCACAGAGGACGCCTAAGGTGCAGGACGCTGCGTGACCAGGTTTGGGAACTACATCTAGAGAGAAAAAGGGGAAGCCCTTAGCATCACGGGGCAAGAATGAGCCCTCCGAGAAGAGACGGTTGCTGCTGGTCCGCACACATCCTGCGCCAGCCGGGCGGCGGGAGCCCGCGCCTTAGCCAGGCTTCCACGCCTCGCTGAGGGCTTCTTCCAGCTTGTCTCGGTAGGCCGCGTAGCGCTTCTTCAGGCTCTGCAGCTGCTCATCTTCTTCCTTGTCCAGGATCCGCAAGAAATTCTGTAGTTCTGGAAGGCTGAAGGCTTCCCACTGTGAGAGAACACAAAAAAGAAAAGCGCCAGGTGTTTCATCCCGCGTCCAGACTTAGGAAAGCTGACCACCAGCACATGGGGGTGTGGCTCCCTCCCTCCAGACCCACAGCCCAGTGTTTACAGGAGCTGAGCCCTGTTACCAGCGCTCCCTCCGCGCCCACTCGGCGCAGCTCCATGCCCTCTGCTCCCTGCTCCTCCCATGGGTTCTCCAGAACGGCTCTCACTAAGGCCAAAGGCCTCCATATCCCCACAGCCATTAGACACCCCCACTCCTGATCTGACCCCTGGAGGCGTTAAAACGATTCCACACCCCTCCATCCTAAAGCCCTCTCTTCCCTCTACTTGGAGTCATCACTGGTTGCCTTCTTTCTCACCTCCCACAATCAATTTCATCACTTCCTAACACTTCTCCCATCAGCCTGCTCTTCCCCACCTCTACTGCCCCCTCGTGCTGGCCACCGTCATCCTGGGACCCCTCCCACCCGGCCTCCTCACTCCACTCTTAAACTCCCCAATCTGTTGCCCAAACAGCCAGCCAGGATACTCTTTGTAAATGTGAATCTGGTCATGACCCTCTCCTGCTGAGGATCACTCAATGGCTTCCCTTGGTTGTTTCTGCCAAGTCTGAAACACCCCAAGCTCTCATGCTGTCCCCCTCACTCACTACCCCAGTGGCTCTGCACATGCTCTCCCCTCCTCCACTCTGGCTGGCAAACTCCTACTCGACCTTCAAGTCTCAGTTTAAATGCCACTTTCTCTAAGAAGGCCTCTATGCTTTCCTCCCCTCCCTCCCACCCAGGACTAAGTCTATTAGAAAGCTCTCTCTGAGCACTGGTAGCCCTGATCACAAAAGATTTTAAAGTTATTTTAATTATTTGCTTACTGTGTGTCTGTCCGTCCGTCCGTCTGTCTCTCTCTCGCCTACACCTCAGCTACACAGCAGCCATCCTACTACTCACTACTGGGGCTTTGCCTCTTGCCCTTGAGGCTCTGAGTTCTGTTTCCCTAACAGCACCCAGTACTTGGCAGGCACAAAATAAATGTTTGTGGCATTTTAAAAAAATTTTTAATTAAAGCAGGAAATGTCAAGAGGGTATCTGGCATCACCTGATGCCACTCCACGTCCTCCCCTCCCAAAAGGGGGCCCTGGGTACCGGCTGAGCATCACTGCCCCGGCCAGGAGCAACTTCCACTGAGGAATCCCCAGGGCAGGAGGGCAGGGAAAAGCCCGGAGACAACCCCATACAGTGAATGGAGAGGAGCCAGAAAAACCACCAAGTGGGCTCCATGACAGAAGGCTTCCGGGAGATGAATTTTGAGCTGGTTATTAAAGAAAATAAACATGGAGTAGGAAAGCAAAACTTTCTATATTAGAATATTCCATTAATTAAGAAAATTAACATTTTTCACATATGTTTTCTAAAATAAAGACATTATAAAATATCATCTCCCTCCCACTCCCTGAAAGCTATGGAAAGCTTCTTCCCTCAATTCATTAACCTTAAATAACTGAGAAACAAGACCACCATACAGAGGTCCCACAGAGCAGCAGGGACATTAAAACACAATGCAGGGGCCGGCCCGGTGGCGCAAGTGGTTAAGTGCGTGCACTCCGCTGCGGCGGCCCGGGGTTTGCAGGTTCGGATCCCGGGCGCACACCCACACACCGCTTGTCGAGCCATGCTGTGGCAGCATCCCATATAGAGTAGAGGAAGATGGGCATGGATGTCAGCCCAGGGCCAGTCTTCCTCAGCAAAAAGAGGAGGATTGGCAGATGTTAGCTCAGGGCTGATCTTCCTCACAAAAAAAAAAAAACAAAACCAAACACAGTGCAAAGTAAATTTCACAACTAAGCTACCATAATTCCCTCCCAGACCTGAGGGGCTCTCACTGCACTGGACTCTGTGCAATATGAAAAAGACCAGGACCAAGAAAGACAAAGCAGCGATGAGGCTTTGCTGACACGTCTGGCTTCGGCTGTCAGAGGGCACCTGCCATGTGCCAAACTAAAAGGCCAAAGGAGACTTCTGCAGCCAGCTTTGTCTCCAAAACGAGAGTGAATTTTAAAAACCTCAAAACATTAGCATCAAAAGAAACTTCAAAAATGTCCAAAATCACTGTCTTCCCAAAACTCCCTAAACAAAGTTCCAATTTACACTCACAGATAAATATACTATTTACAAAGCAAGTTTACATACATTTCTAATTTGCGACTCAAAACCACCTTTTAATGTCTTCAGTCCCAACTTTACAGATATTAAAACTGAGGACTGAAAAGATTAGAAGATACACCCAAGGTCCGGCTCCCAATGGAACAAGAGGAACAGGAACCTCCTGGTTTCCTAACTCTTAACCCAGAAATCTTATTCTCACTGCATCACAAAATGTTCTACATGGACAGTTCACACCAGTCCCTGTTCCAGATGCAAGACTGAGGCCCAGAGCCTCAGAGACGCACTCAAGTGTCGTTTTAAAGTTGACTCTTGATCTAGAATGACAGTCCAAAGTGCTTTTTCCTTCACCTGAACTGGTCTAAATACAGTCCTCCCTGGAGAGAAAATGGTGAATGATACATATGTAAACATAATGTCTTAATCATTTGGGCAAAAGGAGAAAAAAAGATTCTAGAAAGTTAAATGTCTTTTGCAGTAAAGAGACTGCATTTCCTTTGATTTCCCTGTACAATGACCTTGGTTAGTGGCAAACATTTGGAGAGTGTCAACTTTCAAAGTTCAGCTGGATTAGAGTAATTTGCAGGTAAAAGAGGCGAAAATGACTCTGGGTGGAGATCAAGTAAAAAACTTGATTTCCTTCCACCTCTGAAAATTATAGGCCGACATAATCAGTGCGGTAAACGAATTCTATTGTAGGCTAACTTTGGGTCCATTTCTGACAAATCACAAAAAACACAGAAAACACACAGAAAGCTGTCCTCCACAGGACCACCTTTCCTCCCAGGACAGACAGACTGACGGACACATGCACACACATTCTCTCTCCCCTGCCTTCCTCCTCAACCCCGGCGGTGAAGGCCCCACACTAGAGCAATAAAACAGGGCCAGCTGGTCTATAAAGTTTAAAGCAAGAATAAACCATCACTCACCTCTCCAATTTCATGTTCACGAAGAACAAAACTAAGTGTGTCTGTTCTGGGCCCTGCTACCAAACGCAGGTAGAGGGGATGTTCCCGATCTGAGAGCTTGCAGGCGTAGACTGGGTAAGGAAACAAGCAATGTGTCACTAACAATAATGAATCGTTCCCTAGACCACACACGCCCTACCATCCCCTCCTCCAGATCAAAGCAACAGTCTGTTCCCCAGCCGCCAAGTCACCATCCTCCTCATCTTATTACCACCAATAAAAAGCCCACAGAAGAAGGAAAGCGACACTATTTCCGTCCTGTCTGCACAGTATAAACTGTGCCTTGATTAAAAAGCAAACAATTTTCAAGAATGAATTTAAATGGGTATTAGTCCCCAAATGGGCTTACAATTCATTCTGCTTCTCCTTTTAGAAAACAAGAAAGTTAAAAGAGAATCTGCAACCCCTTTAAAAACAATAAAAATATACCATCCAAAGAACATGAAATCAGAGCTCTAGGAGCAGATATCTCTACAGATTAATTTAGAATTGGCAGCTGCAAACAAACCAGTCAGAATACCAGCCCTGGGGGCTTTAAGCACAGCTATGTGTGTCTCATGCTGCACGCACGCGCGCGCACACACACACACACACACACACACACAGGGGAATGGCATTGTCTGTAATGTTGAAAGATTTGCCAGCGATGAGGGCAATACTCCAACAGGACGCTATTAGTGTCAGAATGAGCAGCTGACGTCCAGGTGGGCAGGCAGAGAAACTGGCATGACAGAAATGCCATCTGAGCTTATCCACGCTATTTTGGCACTTCCGGACACAAGTGCATGGTAGGCGCCGATTTCCCTGTGGATGTAAACTTCCCCCACCCTGCTGAGCCTGGGCCTCTGGAGGGCAGGAACCTTGGCCTATTCGCCTCTGTATTCTGCAAGGCCCAGCCCACAGTATGTGTTCAAAAAATGCACCCACACTCAGCAACTAGCCAGGTTGCATCCCCATGCAACTAAAGGACCTTCCTGTCATGTCAGGTTGGTATATTTTTCTCCATAGCTGCTTTAGGCTTTACCCAGAAAAACTTTAAAAAATTTAAATAGCTGATTGCTCACACATACACACAATTTTCAAATTAGCACTTCGTGAATCCCTAAATCACTCTTGTCCACCAGTGGTATCAATTTCTGCTTGAGTACCTAACCTGGAATATCTTAGTTTCATGCAATAATTTAATACTCTCTTGCTATCCACTAAACATGAGTATTAAGTTCAGACAGGCAGACTCCAGATCAAAATGTTATTCCCCATTGTCTGTGCCTCACAGAGGCTGAGGAGCAAAATGCCCCAGAGTAATGGCCAGTGAGACCAGCTAGGGAAACAGAAGAACACGGGGGCATGCCGTTTACGTGGGTGAGTCTGAAATGCGCAATAACGCACACGTGCCTCCCCATCCTCAGGGTCTCCGGGGAGGCAAGTCCAGCAAACCCCTCCACGTTCAGATGCACATCAAACATGAAATGTGCTACTGAAACCTTCAGGCACAGAGACACTCTTTTTTGTCCTAAAGAGCATTAAAATCAAAGCTACAAAAAAAAAAAAAATTCAAAGCTATCCCCCTGTGCATGTCACAAAAACCTCCAAAAATGCCTCCCAGCTCCTGAGCAGACCCACAACTGTCCAACTCGGAAATACGGACAGCCAGGAAATATTAAGTGCATGCCATGATCACCACGGCTTACAGAATCCATCCCTGGGCTCCGACATAATTGACGTGGACACACCATCAGTCTTCCTGCTGCTAATGAGGACAAAAGATGCAAATGCAGACAGCATTTTAATTTTAAGCATGGCAGTGTACCTTGATCTTCCCTATGACAACGCTTATAAAGTGCAAACTTGGCAGGGCTCTCGGTCACGAGAAACTTCTTGAGCAGGGCCTCAATCACCTCCCCCACAGTGTTCGTGCTGCTGATGTGAAGAGTGTTCATGCAGCCGTTGCTGCTGGGCGCGAGCTTTCCAGGGTTCGGAGACGTCTGCGGAGGTTTGCAGAGTTCCATCTGCACTTTAATGAAGCCAGTGTAAATCCCGTTTGAATTCTGGAGCGGGAAGAAAAAAGCACACGCTTAGCCGGGCTGACGGCGGCATTCTGGGGAAGGAGCACATCAAAACAGATACAGGACCGTGCAACACTCTCTCTCTCTCATTCTTTTCCCTTAAGCTCTCTCCGTGGCAGAACCTCACTGCCGAGGGCCCCTAAGGGGATGACCTGGGAGGGAGGTTAACACACCCCAGCAAAGTGCTTCCAGAGGCAGGTCTGCAGGGCAGATGTGGCGGCTGGACTGAAGCAGCCTCCGAGTGCGGCAGCCACTGAAGTCCGAGACTCACGTCTCTCAGGCCACCTGTGACAGGCCAGGGCCCAGTGGGGTGGCCACAGTCCCCTGGCGCAGATGCCGGCCAAACCGCAGGGCTACCGATGCTCGGGGGATACGTCTAGGCCCCCCGCTCAGAGGAAACCACATCTGCGCCTGAGGACCAGCTACCGCACAGAAAAGAAGGTCACAATTAGGACTCGGACGTCCCGAAGTCAACAAGGAGTGGACAGTAAGAAAACAAGCTATCTTCACTCCTAGTGGCTATTATGGTACACGCGACATTACCAATTCTGCCTAAACTCCTTCATACAGCACGTATCCCATACAGCACGGGACACATGAGGATCCGGTTCAGGCACCTCAAGCAGCAACATTTTTAAAGCAAATTCAAGCTACAATGTGAACTACAGCTATTATAATATACGCACCTGTCTTTTTTGTGTTAACATGTACTTACATCTCCTTCTCTATGTATTTTTTTAACAGCTTTATTGAAGTGTAGTTTTTATACAAAAAACTGCACATATTTAATATACATAATTTGATGAGTTAGTTTAGTACTTGTCTTGATTGATGGTAGAATTACTATTTCTTAGTTGCTAAAAATAGTAACAATGGTCTTCACTTTTTCTTTTTACATTCAGTATATTTAGAAATATTGTAATGTTTTAAACACATCCTCAGGTGTTACATATAAATGACACAGTTAAAGAAGAATATTAAAAACTTCCTTTATGGTCCATTCTTTTTGTTTGTTTGTTTCTTAAATTATATGGTCCATTCTTTTTCTTCCTTTCCACAAGATCAATTTACAATCCTAATTCACTTGTTCATTCTTGTGGAAAGTATTATATAACACAAAAAATTCTTAATCTTTGAAACAACATGGAAACTTGCATCTGTTTTAATCTCCTTGCGGGGAGGGGCAGTGGAATTTGTCTGCTCTGATGAAAACTGTGTTTGAAAAAGGAGAAACATCACTGCTGGAATAATGCAGCATAATCGTGAGATCGCCTGCCCCTCTCCTTTTGGCAGAGTCCCACCAGGGAGGGATCCTTTACCACAAGGGTTTATATGTAAAAGCTCCCCTGAAGGGTCACAGAATTCAGTACAGCCTGTTCTAAGCAGGTCACCCTGTCCCTTGCTGACCTCTCTCAGTTCACAGTCAATAGACTGACAGGCAGCAGTCCAAGGTCCTGGAAACTGGCACCAAAGGGTGGCAGGTACCTCGAGGAAAGCCACCAAAAGGGCGGGTGAGGCACAGCCCCCAGTCCAGTTAAGAGGAACATGAACACTCCAGCCTTGTTGTCAGCTCTCCTTCCATGTCAACAAGCCCCATGCAGAATTCTCCCTCCTACACCCGCACTCCCCACTGCGCTTCCAACAGTGTTGGCACGAGGTCGCAGAAGCCTGAAACAACACGGTGTAGGAAACTGGATATTACTCACATCATCTTACACCAACAACCAGCTGAGAAAAATCTCGGCTCAATTATATTCCAATCCACGGGCACAAAAGCGCTTTCCTGACACTTCCAAACTTATTTACACAAGATAAAACTTATCTAAGGCCTTAGAAATCTGAGTTACCACCTGTTATGTTAAACAGGCAGTGATTACATGCAATGCTAAAAATTCTGTGGGGGGGGGGGTCACAAAATTTTTTAAAATAAAATTTTAAGAAGTGTTAACTGATTTTGAGATACAGCTGCTTCAAAATACAGCTTTAATTCGAAAGACACAGAAATATTTCACTTTCCCGTCCTGCACACCTTGACAAATCAACTCCTACAGGTATGAGTCAGAGATTTTAAGACGTACAGATTGTAGCAGCAACAACTTATATGACATGTTGTCAGTCTAAACAGTATCATGGGCGCTTACCAAGGTCATCTTCAACTTGTCCGTGACTGCTAAGTTGTACTTATGAACTTTCTCTTTGATTTCCTCTTTGCTGAGGTAATTGTGGGTTTCCTTCTCTTTCTCCGCATCCTAGAAGAAAAACAAGCCATGCCACACGTGAGCAACCAGAGAAAACTACGCAGATAAGCCAGGACTCTTCTCACGTGCCACACACACAAGAACAACTATGAGCACCTCACCTTGAAGCGCGCACGCACGCACACACCATCACACACACACACCCCCTCACATTCAAACTCTCCAGGCTCATCCATCAATTATGATTCTTATTCCATCAGACTACAGTCTTCCTGAGGGATATACCAAATAAAACTCATTTGTCAGCGGCTAAAAGCAACACTTCATTAAGTATTATTTTGCAAAACTCTCTGCTAACTTTCTCTTGTGCAAGCACACCATTCCCTAAGAGGACCTGCTAGACTGGCCATTTCTATTTTAAACCATATTTAAAGACACAGACAAAAGTTTCTCTTTAGTAAATTCTATGAACTTTCTGATCGTTATAGCTTTACAATATTTATCAGCAAAATGTATGGTAGTTAATAAATGTTAACGGGCACTAATCACTGACCTGCCAAATTAGACGAGCAGAGGGTCATTTATCTTCCAGACAAATCCTCATGTCAAGGTACAAACAGCCAGACTTCCCCTAGCCACCCACTCACTCCCAGCCCTCAGGCCTCACCCCACCCCTGCCTCCGCACACTCTGGAGGGGACAATATTAGTTAAACCCTCTTACCACTGTGAAGATTCACTAACAGTTTATTGTCCAAAGAGCTCAACCAGTGCACGACATTATGCAACGGCTAGTATGTGACCACAGATGCCTAACTTCAGGACAGTGGGACCTCACGAAGCCGAGATTAGATACAAGGCACCTGACTTGTATCGCATTTAATTCTCCCAACAATCTAACCCAGTAGGTGTATTACTCCAGTTTCCAGATGAGATCAAGTTTTAAGAAGTAAATTAGCCTGCCAATAGAAACTTAACGGTTCTGTGGAAGTGATGGAACTTACCTGAAGCCTGATCCCCAAGTAACTCCAACTGTTCACTGAAACCACTAAGTCCTTCCACACGGGTGACCCCAGGGTGTCCTCTTTTGATCCTCCCAACAATAAGCTAATTAGCATCCCCATGTTACAGACAGGGACACTGAGATTTACAGAGGTTAAGTGGCAACCAAACTAGTGAAGAGACCAAGCTTAATTTTAATCCAGGTCCTCTATGTGTTTCCACTCAATCGAACCCACATCCCCATCGTGCCCACATGGCTGTTTGACAACTTGAAGAGAGGCTGCATAATCAGATTCAAACCTGAGCAACAACTCAGAAAAGATGAAGGGTCCTAACAATCTTCAAGACAGAGAGGAAGAGCATTTAAAATCAGATGACTTATCCCCCAAAAGAAAACCTTTGAAAAGGTGCCTCTTTTCCAGCCAGACACTTGACCCCATCCTCACGGCGGGACATTTCCAAGCAGACATCTGCTCCCATCTACTCACTGTGAGCCAGAGTTACATACACACACGGAACGCTACAACAGAACTTGCATGGACACCGTAAGAGGATAAAACAGCTCTTGATCCATTCAGGTCTCAAGTTCTTTGATTTCAGACCCTGAGGAAGATGTGCTGACTATAAATTACCTAAGTCACTTCTCAATTTCAGTACCGTCCTAGTGAAGTCTGATGCTCAGTGTTGGGCGACCCTGGAGGAACACAGCACAAGACAGCAGTTCACTCCCAGCTTCAGGAGCCAGCTTCCAAGTCCCCTGGGAACAATCTGCCTGCCAGTGTTAAACCCCAACGCAATCTTATTTTTGGTGTCACTGGTTAGGAAGAAAAATAAGCTGTAGATTAAAATAACTTTTCAGAAGCTTCAATGACTATTTCCAAGGATATTTAAAACATACACTGCATGTCTCTGCTCACCCTGCTCCTTCCAGTTCACAATAAGCCGGCTACGGGCATCACTGAAGAAGAAAATGAGCTAGTCTTTGTTTCAACACTCATTTTTCAGTATGAACTGTCCAAAGCCTCTTCCAAGCACATAGTAAAAAGTGTACAGAAGAGGCTTTCCATCTTGCAGGTGTGCGATGTAACGCTGGCAGGGCCCGAGGGTGCTGCCCCATTCCAGCAGGACCTGGGCTCCCATCCGAGCCTGTTACCAGCTGACCCCGTGCCCCAGCTTACTAACCTGAGTCTGCTCCCTCACTTCCTATCAAATAAAGGGACAAGAATAGATCCTCTCAAAGGTCCTAATCGGACCTGTCTGCAAAGATCTGATGCTGCTCTCAGTCGTGTGACCCATTGGGCAAGATGGTTCCACTTGGGGAATCAAGGAAACCAAATTCACCATTAAAAACACACAAAATAGGGGCCAGCCCAGTGGTATAGTGGTTAAGGTCGCTCACTGTGCTTCAGCGGCCCAGGGTTCGCAGGTTCGGATCCCGGGCTCGGACCCAGGCTCGGACCCACGCACTGCCTATCAAGCCATGCTGTGGTGGCGTCCCATATAAAGTAGAGGAAGATGGGCACGGATGTTAGCCCAGGGGCAATCTTCCTCAGCAAAAAGAGGAGGATTGGCAATAGATGTTAGTCCAAAGCTAATCTTCCTCACGAAAACACACACACACAATAGCCAAGTGCACATACACGGCAGCAGACACACACCCTCGGGGGCTCACCACTTAAATAAGAAAGGAGAACTCCAAGTATGAAGGGAAGCAAAGGGGATGAAGGGAGTGATTGAGAGCTAAGAGTAGGGTCAAGTCAGTTTGGCCATTTCTTAACTACAGCTTTTCTGATGCTGCTGGACTTAGCACCCAGTACCCTTCCCCAGGTCCGTCATGTCAGCAGGCCAGACGCAGCACTGAGGAAAATCAAAGGAGCAAGCCAGTCTGGAAAAAGCAGCCGTCCCTGGATCATCCACATCTGGATAACTGAGACATGCTTGTGTAGCAATCATCCTATCCTCTCAGATTAAAAACACAGGAAACCGCAGAGAGCAATAACAGAAAGAGTTGGGCCCAAAGGTCTCCGAGATCCCTTCCAAGCTCAACTCCTCATTATTAAAAGATCAAATGGAAAGTAAATCCCAGGGAAGCAGCGAAAACCTAAAGGGCCAGGATCCTGTATTTTTTGTTATTGAGATATAATTGACACATAACATGGTATTCATTCCAGGTGCACAACATAACGACTTGATATATCTATCTACTGCAAAATGATCACCGCAATAAGTTAACACCCATCACCTCACAGTTACAACTTTTTTTCTTGTGATGAGAACTTCTAAGATCTACTCTCTTAGGTGATCTTGATTTTTATGTCAACTGATGCAGCAATGGCAGACCAAGGCCACAGAGCAAAGCTGCTTTGAGCAAATATTTGCTGAGCGTCTGCTGTGTGCCGGGTACCTGCCTGAGCTGGGGTGTCTGGCGCCACCTCCCCCCTCGTGGAGTGTACTGTCCAGCACAGGATGAGCACGAGTGAGGAATGTCCAGGAAAAAAGGGTTCCAAAATGATGACCAAGCACGCTTTCTCTGAGCAGAGGGTCTGGCAGGAGGGCAAAGGCAAGAAGTCACAGCTCAGGCTCTGGGGCGGAGGACATGGGTTTCTTTTAGGGTCAGAACTCCAGAAAGTCTGTGATTTGGAAACTTTCCAAATTGCTTCCTCCCTTATCTCTCACAGAGGCAAGAATCCTCCTGCCTCCCTCCAAATGCAGCGCCTTTGGGAATACAGCCCTCTCCCCAGGAAGGAGGAGAGAGACACGGACCCCAGAAGGGAGGAAGTAGGTACAGTGGGTACACAGGGAGAAAGCACGGAGAGGGTTAAAGCCCGGTGGAGGGCGTGGAGCAGGTGAGCCCGAGTGTAAACACTGCTCTCTAACTGCCAGCGGGGGAGGAAATGCACAGGGCACAGCCGTCTGAATGCCTCGCTTATTGTTCTGGGCATTGTTCTTGGCAGCAGGGAGGGGACAAGGCCACGCCTGAGAGTGTCCGTCTGCTAAGTTACAAGTCATCTTTTATAAGCCACTTTTCTTGTGCATTCTCCAAACCCTCCAGTTTCTCAGCAGGAGAGTTCTTCTATGCAAATGATAAACCCTAGACTCTTCTCTGTGTTTTCCAGCCAGCCCTTGAGAGCTTCCCTTCGGTTAGCTTCAGTTCCTGGGTGGGGTCGCATCGCTGTTTTTCACCACGACCTTTCTGGTAAGGGACACGCCCGACCTCAGACACGCAGGATCCTCACGCAGGTGACCAGGCTGTGCTAACGAAGTGGGGCCCCAGCCAGCGTCAAAGCGGCTCATGAAGCAAGACCATCCAAGAGTCCACCCCCAAAGATCTGGGCAGAAGGTCTGAGAATTGTTTACACCCTTCTTGCTAACTTTTCTGTAATTCTGAAATTAAAATGAAATTAAAAAAATTTTTTTTAAGTTAAAAATATAACAACAAAAAAAAACAAAAGAAAGCATCTGAGAGTGACTATGTTAAAGGGTGAGGGCAAGAGGATGCACATGCCCCCACTGCTCCCCCTATTTTAGCCCAGGGAAGGTACTGGATGTGGTTTGGGCACACTGAGGTCTGAATCACAGCTCTGCCCTGTTCCAGCTGTGTGACCAAAGGCAAGACATTTAACCTGTCTGAGTCTGTTTTCTCATCTCTGTAAAATGTGCAAACCAGTACGTACTTTATGGAACTGCTATGAAAATATAATACAATGCATTATTCAACAACCATTCATTGAGTGCCCGCTGGTGCCCAGCTCTGTGCCACGCACATAAAGCTGGAGAGACAGTCGTGGTCCCCGCCCTTCTGCCTTTTCTTGGCTGACAGCCCCCCGCCCCAGCCCCCCAGATGGTTGGGTTTTTTCCCATCACAGACCTCTTCAAGAAATAAAACCACTGCCCTTTCCAAAAAAAAAATGCAAACAGTACAGACTCTCTGATGGAGTGCGGGACAATATATGCACAGAGCTGATGGCAGGGGCGTGACAAACACTCAGTAAACAGTGTCACCATCTCTTCATTGGCGGTCCCACAGCGCTCACGTGGAGCTGCTCTGACTCCCGGCTAGGTTTGGGGTCCAACCTGTG